CTAACAGAAAGACGGTCGAGATACAACAACGCTATAAGTTGCATAAGTAAATAAGATATTATTTCCACTACATCGGGAAGTATGCCTGACATTTTGAACAATTGTGAAATCTAGTCCCCGTATACTACCTACGTAAGATGGCGCGCAGACGCTTCGGGCTTCGCCCTCCGCTAGACCTCGGCCTATGGCCTTGGCACTTGACTTAAAAAAAATTAACATAGGTCTTTAATGGCGGCTATATTGATAAATGGCAAAAAGTAAATTTTGACTGCAAATTATTATTAAACACCCATTAAGAACTCCTCATGGCGATTTTCAGTAGAATTAGAGCAAAATTTTATCAACCGCTAAAGAAAGTTTGTAAGGCAACCTATTGAAAAATGGCGAAAAATAAATTTTGACCGAAAGTTATTATTAAACACCCATAGAGAACCCCACATGCCGATTTTCAAGAGAATTAGAGCAAATTTTCATCTACCGCCAAAAATACTTCTATGGCAGCCATATTGAAAAATGGCGATAAATTAATATTGATCACAAATTATTATCAAGCACTCCTAGAAACTCCCACATGACCATTTTGGAAGGGATCAGAATAATTTTTTTCTACTGCCAACAAACGCTTGTATGGCGGCCATATTTGAAAATGGTGAAAAACCAATTTTGAGCACAAGTTATCATTTGGCACTTCTAGAGGCCTCCACATGCCAATTTTCAGCTGAAAAAGAGCGAGTCTCTTTCGGCAGCTATTTTTAACGAAAAGAACATTTACCTACATGGCAGCCATATTAAAAAATTATGATTAAGGACTCCTAAAGACCCTCGCATGCCAATTTTAAGCCGGATCGAAGCAAGGTTTTCTTCGGCCGCCATTTTGAAATCGCCATCTTGAATTTTTTTAAACCAAGAAATTGACTAGTGTTACCTTCTATGACAATCCTCTTGCCTCCACCTATCTCTAATAGTTTCCGTGATAGGAGGCTTTGAAATTTGTTTGGCGGCCATCTTGTTTATTTGAATTTCAAACATTTTTTACTTCCCGCGGTAATTGACCAAGGTGTATCTCATAAATATGCACAAAAATCCCCCCCATGTTTTTAGTTTTTGCAGGCCCTTGATCACTCGTTTACATTTTCCACATTCAAGTCTTCTCATATTTGATTCTTTGCCTTGTAGCCTATCCGCGTACAACAGTATAAATATTTTTTCCACCGTATCGGGAAATATGCGTTCTATTTCTATCAGTGAGTAAGAACTTGTAGCTTTATATATATAACTAGATGGCGCGCGTTGCGCCGGGCCCGCGAGGGCTTTCTTTGTATCTGGTGACAAATTGGGAGTTGAACTTCATATTTCAGTAGATAATTTTCTTTGTTTGACTTTGAGTGGGAATGGCGGCCATTTTGTTTTGCGAATTTTGTGTTTTTTTACTCCCGGTAGAAACTACCCAAGGCGTAGAGCAACGTTTGTTTGGAGACCTTAGAGCTAAAACGTATACATCGCCCGTGCAGCTGGGGTCCTTTTGTTGAAGATTACGTTACCTTTTAATACTCATCAAACCCGGCCGACCATAATTCCCTTACATCATTTTTACCCACCCGCACTCCTTCTGGGAGAAAAATGACGCCAAAGGGCAGAAAATTCACATGTATGGCGGCCATCTTGGAAAATAGCGGAATCAAAATTTTGACCCCAGTTTCCAATTGTGGACTCCCATTCACGGCCGCATGCCAAATTTCAGCCGGATCCGAGCACTTTTATTTTGGATCCCCATTTTGAGTCGGCCATCTTGAAAAATATTTTTTCACCGACAGTTGACCCCCACCGCCCTCTATGACATTTGGTCGAGGACCCCCGCCCATCTCCAATACTTGCCGAGCTAAAGGGCTCTAAAATTTGTTTGGCGGCCATCTTGTTTATTCGAATTTTAAAAGTCTGCCCAGGGTGACGGCCAATTTTAGATTGACGACCCTGCCGGTAGGTGTTATACTTTGGCCGCGCTGCCGGGGTCCCACCTGATGCAGTCCATTTTTCGAATGCCATCCGATCACGACTCCCGTACATCATTTTTACCCATCGCGACTCCTTCTGGGATAACAATCATCTAAATCACTGGCTCAGTCAGTCAGTCAGTCAGTCAGTGGTAATCGAGCTATATAGAGTATAATAATAATAATATAATAATAATATATAACAAAATATCTAAAAAATAAATTAAAGTCAATCTTACTTCAAAGTAGTATTTAGACAAAATTCAAACTTCGCACAATCATTACAATGTTTTGTAGATGTAGGTTTTCTCACGATATTTTCCTTCACTAAAAAGCTGTTTTAATATTATATAATAAAAGCATTTCTAATTGAATTTCACACATAATTTCCGAAAAACTCATAGGTACCGGCCGGGAATGAGACTCACAACCCTCTGCTAAAGAGGCGGTGTGTCAAACCTCTTGTAGCCTCTTTGTAATAAGAAAAAACGTATGAGTCCACACGATGATGTGTTCATTAAAAAAAAAACAATAGAGGTTGCAGTTTCATACGGAATATCAAATTTCAAATACATTTTTGAAAAGAATGCCAGTATTCCTATTATATAACTTAATAAGTTTTAATATTACCATTAAGCTACCACTGTATAATAGTTTATGTAATAATATATTATTCAAGATGCTGTTACAGCTGCCACGCTTTTGCAGCGCGTCGGGAATGTTCGATAACGCTCATGTTGAAGGTTTTGAAGCTATAATAATGGCAGCGATAACAGTCTCCTGAGTGTCATTGCGTTCAGAGTCCAGGATTATTTTCATGAGCACCTAACCCGAATGCGTATTACTTGCACAGGACTAAAGTGTTCTGTACCAAATTCTTATAGATGATTATCCGAAATATTTTTTTATTTGAATAGAAGAGTTTGTCCTTAACGGTGAGTTATATCCTGTGGTACTTTTACTTGTTGACTGGCTCCGTGGCCGAACGGTTACCATGCTGAGCTGCCACGCAGAGATAAACATTTGTATGGCCTACATTTATTTCTCTTGTGAGTTTTTGTGGAATTTGTGATTGTGTTTGTATGGTGTCTATCGCACCCGCGATACAGGATATCCCTAGTGCGGGGCTATGAGTGTGTGCCTTAAAACAAAAACAAATAAATTATAAAAATTGTAGCCGTTGGTCGTATCAATAACAATAAAACATTACTTGCTACGAAGTTGAAGGAGAACAAGGATCAATATCTCAGATATAATGTCCATTGTGATTTGTCAAAACGAAAAAAAAAGTCGTGAATTTGGAACCGGTAGATTTTTTGTTCAAAATTTTCCTTAAGCTCATTTATATAAATACTAGTCATGCTTTGCGTTTTGTACCAGTACCCGTTTTGTATTGGTAAAGAAACAACCGAAAAACAAGAAGTGCAGTTGAGTTTATCAACACCGAAATCATCAATAGAATACAAGGCGTGATCCTTGACCAGTTGCTAAAACCACACGATTGGCATCACATCCATTCATAAGGTACGCTCCATACTCCTAATCATATCACTTAACTAGAAATTATAACAATTATTATATTAGATAAGCTCGAAAGGTCATTGTCATCATTATCAACCTACAGACATCTATCTAACTACCGGGCTCAAGTTTTAAATAACGAAAGCGTCTAGACCATATTCCTCATAGTCCTCAACAATGACCCAATGCGGATTGCAGACCTAACACATCTTTGCTGACTTTTATAAACCTTTAGCAACATTACTTGGCACTTGGTCTATTAGTTCCGGCATTTCAAATAGATGCCCTTATAATCAAAGGTTATCCTTTTTTAAGCTTGACTCTTCTCAAGAACGTCGTGTTAAGCATGATCTCATATTTCTTTTCAATATTTTAAACAATGAGATATACTGCGGTAGTATTCTAGGGCAAATAGGTTTGTCAGTTCCCTATAAATATCCCCGAAAACTTGGTAAAATTTTCCATGTTACTTATTCCCGTACTTAATATCCGATGTCACTCGCCTTGTATAAGAATGTGTAAAGCATAAAACGAAAGAAATGTTAACAGTCCTGATTTAGATATATTTAGTGAGAATATCGATTCCTTGAAAAGAAAATTAATTACTTAAAAAAAAAGTTGATTAAATTCCTATAGTATTTCTGAGTATATTCAATTGCTATCTCGTTTAAATTATCTAAGTAGGTACCTATGTTAATTTGTCAAAATTTTAATTTAGTTTCTGATTGTTGTTTTGAGATTGCCGTCGACATTTATTTGTTTAACTGCCTCCGTGGCCGAACAGTTATCATACTGAGCTACCACGCAGAGGTCCCGGGTTCGATTCCCGGGCCGGGAGAAAAATGTGTCATGGAAAGGGCTAAGCTCAGAATTCTTTTCAGAGTCAGTTTCAAAAAAAGTTGTACTTCCAAAGCATAACGGACAATAGCTGGAGAAGATTACCTGAGTGACGTAGCAGTGGGCTGGTCACATCTTGCGCAAGAGTGACAACCATTGGTGCAAACGTGTTCTGAAGTAGAGGTCACGTTAAGGTAAGAAACGTGTATAGGTGAACAACCTACCAGAAGGCACGACGATCTCCGCCAAGTGACAGAAAGCGTGCAGGTGCGCATAAATTGAAGACCGAGCTTAATGTTGCTATTGGTCCACAACTGCTTCTCATGCTACAGAGAACATCCGTAAAGTAACAACGTAATTAAATAAATGTTTTGAAGACCTTGTAAGTACAAGTCACTTATAAATATATTTTATTTATATCTGATTAATATAGATTTTAAGACTTTCGTGGTTATTCACTATTATGACTAATATCAGGTTTCTTACCACTTTTTTTGTGTGTGTAAAAAGTGAGTGACAATGGTAACGCCACAACAAATCGCGATGAAGGTAGTCATCGACAGCGCAAGAGGGTAGCTGTCTACCCTCTTGCAGACATATCTGTAAATGTCTGCTCTTAAAGCTGTCATCTGCCGCCGTCCAGTCAACCTGTGACCATGAAGCGTGCAACCGTTCCGACATATCGGGAAAATAAAAAGAAGTCATACCGTGGTAAGAAACTTGATATTAGTGATAATCATCTGATTAATGGTTTTGTCAAATAAATACTTATAGGGCACAATATAAATTGTTACTGCAAATTTTTATCCGTAGATAATTTATAATTATAATTTGTCTTGTTCAATATTAGTCACAGTCAATGTTGACTTATTTACATTATAACGTATTATAATGATTTAATCAAATTCTATTAATTCCAAAACTAAATTAATTACAAATGTCAATCCGCAACGTAGCCTTCGTTAAGTAGACACAAATATAAATCAGAAACAGGCTTCGTCACGTAATAACTGAATGTATAGTGACAAGTTGATTAAGTGTATACATTTAGTGGAAACTAAAAAAACATTTGGCTTCTTTATGATTAATTAAGTGGATAATCGTACAGTTAACAGAAAGCTCGACTTTAGTTAAGTGAACTGTGAACTGTTCCTATAGTAGATGGCGCAGGGTTGAATTTAAATCTTAAATGTATATCTCAGCAGGATTACGACAACAAAGAATTAAGTAAAGGTAATGCTCCGAGTATTACTAATATAAAATACCAAATTTTGTAACAAAACATGATATAGTTAAACGTTGAATATCTTCACGAAAGCTCGATACTGATCCTAATTTTCCTCATATCTGTTTTAAATTACTTTTAAAGCACGTTAACCAATTTCACTAACATTGAATCATGGCAATATTTCTTCTGCAGGGCTTATCACTTTGATTCTGTCATGTCACTGTCTGTCATGTCACTGATCATGGCGAAGCTGTTAATAATTGTATCAACACTGGTGGTATGCAGTATTGCCCAAAGGTCGTTCTACGCCAAACGCCCCATAGGCTACCCTGAAATAGTATCAACCACACGATCACCGCCGACGACAAAACAGCAACAGTTATCTGATAACCCTACGGGCAGGTATGAGACATTAACATATTTTTGTTAAAACCTATGAAGATATTATTACCCTTTACGCAAAACAAGAAGGTAGTCGGATGCCATTTTCGAATTCAAATTTAATTTATAAGGCTCTTTTTATGAAATTACTTTTATCATATTCACGAATATTATTAGTCCGAAAAGGTATTGTTCATTTGCATAACGAACTTACTATCAATAACAATAAGGTAAAATAAGACTGAAAATGTCATGTTTTAAATGTGACGATTTATTTCAAGACAGAATTATTATTGAAAAAGTTTCACTATTTGATTAGTGTGATTTTTATGAACTCGAATAAAATCTTTTATTTGCTCACTTCTAAAATTTAGGTCATAATATTAACATTTTTCTCGTAAATATGACCTAAATTTCGGTGACCTAAATAATGATCGTTTTTCGGCAAATTAATTCTAAAATAATTGACTGCCTCCGTGACCGAACGGTTACCATGCTGGCCTGTCACGCAGAGGTCCCGGGTTCGATTCCCAGGCCCGGAGAAATATTTGTATGGTCTACATTTATTTCTCTCGTGAGTTTGGGTGTAATTTGTGTGTGTCCATGGCACCCGCGATACAGGGTTTCCCTAGTGCTATGTTGAGTGTGTGTGCGTTTATTTACCATTTATTGACCAATGATCGGCGAATACTCCACGATGATGACAAGCATTATAGTATATGCCATCGAAACGATAACAAGACGAAGCAAAAAACAACAAACGTCATTCAGTGTTTTACAATTTTTACATACTATCTTTTTCTTACCAGGATAAATGACGCGGAAGACAATAGACGACCATATATTCCAATAGAATTTCAATCGGATCCCTTATCCTACTACTACTACTTACGTCTGCCGGTACACCAAAGACCTTTCAACGTTATAAACGCACGTCAAATTGACGACTGGAACTCCAAGCCACATACGTACACATTGCGACGTAATAATTACGCTCGAGACCAAATATATTTTCCTGATAAGTAATAAAAAGTGTTTTAAAATATTATGTGGTATCATTTCACCTTTTGTTAACTCTAACAAGATAAAAAGAGGTTCATGGTGTACAATAAAACAATATACAAAATGCAACAAAAACTGGGTGTTATGAAATATCTTTTATTATATATTTGTGTTGTAAACAGTTATAATGGAAGATTATCACTAATTTCAGGTTTCTTAGCACGGTGTGACTTCTTTTTAGTTTCCCAATTTTTGATAGCCATAGAGTATAGACAGAAACCATAGACAACGAAGTTGCCAATATCAAGGTTAGACCCTTAAACTATGGAAACCAAAGGACATGTTATATTGACATATATAAATCAGACGTTATATGTATATGATGCATTTAGACGTTGAAAACGTAAACATTTTATTGTCTTTGTTTAACTACTGTGTGCCATCATAAGCCAAAAGAGATAGCACTACATTGATTTATATTAAACATGGGAATCGAAAATATATAACGTCATCTTAAATGCCAACTGTCCTCATTTTGCCATTTTTGTAGTACCCTTTGATAACCGTTTCCGGTTGTCAAAGGGAAGTAGTACATCAAATGTCAAAACCAATGTAGGCCAAATGTTTTTATGAATTATTCGCATGAATTGTAATGAAATTGACAAAAATATTGACATTGAGAACAATTAAGTATTGATAAAAATGCGTCGCTGCAGAATTAAGGGGTGCGGCAGTAGAAAAAGCAAAAATCAACCGAATGTTACATTACATCGCATGTGTTATTTTTCTGTCTATAAATTATACAATAGCCCAAATACCTCATGTAATTAGTTTCCTTTATGTAGTTTATTCACAAGACTTGACGAATTTTGCTTTGGTTACTTTAGATTGCCTGTTTGTTAATGTATTTTGATGATTGTTGATAACGATTATTTTGAGATAGTGTTGTTCTTGTAAGCAGATATATATTTCGATATTCTGTTATTAAAACATTTAACTACGAGGTTTTTATTATTTCATTATTATTATTTTTAAAGTTTACCTACAAATGGAAAAATAAAGAAAGAATGGTTGAAAATTATAGGACTGCCGAACATAAACATTGGATCAAATACCATCTTCGTATTTGCGCTCCATTTTGAAGAGTCAAATTTTAATAGAACTTTGAATGTCCATCCTTACATTCATTGGTAAATAACTTTATATTTAATTTTGATTAAAATGACTCTTTTCTTGCCTAGTAATAATAGCCTAGTATTATTCATACTTTGATTACAGTAAACTATACAAATTTGCAAACAAATTTGTTACAGTTTCAACACTCAAGCCATGCATTTGCATGTCGATATTGACTTATTGACTTATCTATGATTATGGTACAACACTAAACCCGCCAATAGGTGTGGTACAATTTTGGTTTAGGTAGGTACGTTCTGTAGACAGGGCAGCTTCTTTCCGTTATGTTTTTCCATCCTCTAATGTATTATCTGATGAAAAGTGACGATGAAGCATGGTTAATTGGCTTTGTTAATTTCAATTTTTGACAGCCGTAGTATATAGACAGAAACCCTAGACAACGAAGTTGCCAATATTAAGGTTATTAACCCATACATAAATGGCGTTTGTGTTCACTCTAACAGGATGGGCGACGAGTTGATGATGGATGAGAGAAGCGTAAGGTCCGATCGTCGTTGTGGCGATGTTTGGGGGAAGTTTTTGTCTTATAGTGGTCCTTTTTCTGGCGAAGCGATAATGACGATGAATAAAATGAAATTCATTGATTTTTTTTTATTTGCCGCCATTTCCCCGTAACATGCGATTCCTGAACACATCATAGAGAGCTTAAAGTATATGTATAGATAAAGCAGTGTATGTAACTGTATAGAATTAAAACACTCGTGTGATATCGAGTTCTTTTACTAAGAAAACTATCATAGACTATAAATTATCTAAAAACTATCTACAAGAATGCTACAAATGGTCTTATAGCATTTTAGAAGGGTTACTTCAGAAAGAAGATAAGAATGACTCTTAACACTACCTACAGATAGTTTCTCAAAGCACTCTTGTGATCTACTAATAAAGTTGTGCCTTTTTTACTTTAAATTATCTAGAAACCTTTGAGATATCTTGAGGGAATTTGAACTCTTAAAATATTCAATCGAATTAAATTCTATTAGATATCTTATAGTATATATTTAGATATGGGAGTGCTGCTTAGGCACACGCTACCTGGAAACTGTCCGTGTATCGTAGCTCTTTCTCTTATACCACTTAAAAGTGCCTAGTGTTAGAATTGTTAATTTTGCTTGGCTAAAATGTTAAATTCGTTTGTCAAAGTCAAAGTGCGTCAAAAGTGTTTTTTCTTAGGTGTTTTTTCACTTGCTCTCACGCTCATGCTATGTCTGAACAACAAAAAGAAGCTTTAAAGAGAGCTACTTCTACTCTTTTTTCGTCGTCATACAAAGTGGGTGAACATCGATAATCGGCGTACTGCACATGAAGAAAATAAATGGAACAGTTACTTGAGGTGCAGAATGAAAATATCAAGGCGTTGATCCAAACCTTGAAGACACCACCAGTCGCATCAAGTCACGTGTCTTTGCCGGAATTTAATCCCGTGAAGCCAGAGGTAGACGCTAAACCCTGGTCTTCCACTGCCGACCTTTGCTTTGCCGACCATACAATGCAAGGAGGGCACTTGATAATTGCAATCAACAAGGCCTTGAAGGGGCCCGCCTCCACTTGGTTGTCACACATAGCCTACCCGGGCATAACATGGAATGAATTAAAGAATTTAATTACACTTAGCTTTGTGAATTAATTCACTTGCTTAATGACAAGTCGAGTGACGATGAAACATTATCAGCCTATGCGAGTCGTCTCATCACATCGCTAACAAAAAAATGAAAAAATCTTAGCACAGAAGACGTAGTTGTATGTATGGTACTCCCTCACGTATCCCAATTTGACACTCGCTTACAGCGTCTGGCGTTAACGTCTGACATAAAAACACGGGTACAAATACAACAAGAACTGCAAGCATTTTCTTATCTCAAAAGGAAAGCAAACACATTACATGAGTCACGCGTCGTACCAGAAAAACGCACCAAGTATTTGCAGGTACCCACTCCTAAATGTTTTATTTGTGGCAAACTTGGACACCTACAAAAAATTGTCATTTGGAAATGAAAGACGTGAGAGGAAAACAACAGACGTCCAAAGTGAATCCTAATGTGTTACCAAATCCTAGACAATCTGATTCGTTGTCATCTAGTTCAATCGTTTGCTTCTAGTGTGGTTTGAAAGGTCACATCGCCTCGCGTTGGTCAAGCGGCGCAGGCGCTAGCGGCAGCTGCGGCACAGGCACTCCGGTTATGGGCGAAAAACGAGTCGACCTATGTGTGATGATGTGAACCTCCGACTGGAACACTTAAATGTATCGGTGAGTCATACAATTTTCAGTATGATTAAAAGGAAGTATTATAGCTTCCAAGTTTAGTGGAAAACGATTGAATAAAGTAATTACTTTAACTGGCATTGGAAAATCGAGTATAATCAACGCCGTGCAGATATTATGTAACATAGAAACTAATGATCAGTCCTTAGAAATCTTGTTAGGGCGCGTTCCCACTATGTCGTGACGACAGATTGTCCTGTAGTTTACAGTGTCGTGGCTTGTATATTTAAAGGAAGTTGTTTACATATAGCACGACACGATTAACTGTCGTTCACGATTTTTTATCGTTACAACGACAAACTGTCGTCACAGTGCAAATAGCTAGAACGACAGTCGTCAGACGATAAAAAAGTCACGATAAAAACGTGACGACAGATTGTCGCAGCTTCTATTGTCGTCACGTTTTATTTATCGTTGTCCGCACGTATTCTGCTCCCAGCCCTCCCGTCTCGTACCCCACGCCCTCTGCTCGCTAGCGCAGTAGCGTCGGGTCCTAGCCAGAGATGGGCAAGGAGGCTGTTGTGAAACGATAAATTGTCGTCACTATCTAGTGGGAACAGCCAGTCAAGACAGTCGTTCAACGATAATAAAACGTGACGCGCCCTTACATGTTATGCCTGAAGTTTATTTACGCTGTGATATTATGATAGGTCGCGAGATTTAAATACGGATTTTGTTGTTCAAATATCCGCCAAGGAATTTTCTATTTTTAAACAGACACTTGTAAACAATGTCGTAAATATTTGCCATATCGATCCACTCATTAACAGCTCTGAGAAAGATATTTTTTGTCAAATTGATACAGACGTTCCAATTGTACATAAACCGGCTCTTTTAAATGTTTTGACGCGTTATTCAGCCTTTTTTATATCTGGTATGCCAAGCACTCGTGTCACAAGTGGTGAACTAGAGATTCGTTTGGTAGATCCGAAACGTACTGTGCAACGACGACCTTATATACTCAGCCCAGACGAACGTCAAGTGACGCGTGACTAAATTAATGAGCTATTAAATGCAAATATAATACGACATAGTAAATCGCCATTTACCAGTCCTGCCTTTCTAGTTAAGAAGCGTGATGGATCTTATAGAAAGTGCATAAGTGATAATAGAGAACTCAATAACAATACTATCATAGATAGGTACCCATTATTCTTGATATCTGACCAGATAGATAGACAAAGTATTTTACAAAGTTGAACTGTGCTAGGGGATTTCATTTGTTTCCACTTAACTCTCAAGAGTCAATTGAACGTACTACCTTTATGGCTTTATTTTTTTTATTATACGTCATCTGCTCTCACGCTCACGCTATGTCTGAACAACAAGAAAAGCTTTAAATATATCTTCTCCTACTCTTCCTTCGTCATATATATTAACATCTTTAGGAGTTGTGAATAACTACATAAGCTTTGACTACACTTCTCTTTGTCCCTTGTCCAGCTTGATACAACATGGTACGTCTCAGTCAATATACTATCTAACCAATTACCCATTTAGGTACATATTAAAAATGAAGTAATCCATGAGACAGTCGTATAAAAAAACAGATAACTAAAACAAA